CATTGCCCGTCCCCCATTGCTGCTGTGGGGAGAAGGCAGAGAAATGAGGACAAAGCTGTGCCCAGGAAAAAGGAAGGGGTGGGGGGAAGGTGTTTTAAGATTTGGTTTTAATTCTCTTTTACTCTGATTTGATTGGTAAGAAATTAATTTTCCCCCAAGTTGAATCTGTTTTGCCCGTAATGGTAACTGGTGAGTGATCCCTCCCTGTCCTGTCTCAACCCAGGAGCTTTTCCTTACACTGTCTCCCCACTGCCCAGCTGAGGAGGGCAGCGGCAGAGCGGCTTTGGTGCACACCCAGCCTCCAGCCAGGGCCAATCCACCACCACAGCAGCAAGAGAAACCATCATGGCATTACAGAAGGTAGACAGATAGTGTTAATTACAGAAGGTGGTTGTCCCACAGAAGGGAAGGTTGGTGGTAACAGTGATTTATTTCAGAGGGCCGTTTAGTCATTGTGCTATTCCTAGACAAGGCTCTGAATTTAAGTGATACTCTTAAGTCATATTTGAAACCAAATTTAGGTTCTTGAGTCACATAGATGTTTTTGAAATTACTCCTGCCTTTCTGTCTACGTGGCTGATCTTGGAAGAGACAGCACCTACTGGCTGCTGTACAGTCAGCTAGGAGCTGGGAGCTGGAAGTGTCAAGAGGTTGGTGGATACCTGCCAGCAATTGCAGTACAGAAGAGGATGCTCTGATGTGCCCAGGGGTGTTTTTGGAGCTGCTGTACTTGTGCAGTTGGTCTCTGTGTGCACCTTGAGTCAGAAGTACCCGGAACGTGTCACCTTTACTGTGTATGTGCACACATCTACCTTGCAGCCGGAGATCTTGGGCTTGCTGCTCACAGCCACTCTGCACATGTTCACTGGCCCTTTCTCAGCGATTTCCCAACATCCTGCAGCCAGAGATGTGGTAAAATACCATGTGGAGCAGGAGAGGAGACAAAATGGGAGTGTCAAACTGAACCCAAGCTGTACGTGTACCTCAGTCTTCCCTGTGGCCCTGAGCTACGCAGGCAGCAAGGCGTTTTAATGAAGCTTCAAGGCTGGGGCTAGGGCCGGGGCTGGCTAACAGTCCTCACTGGGGCTGGGGTGATCCCTGGGGGCTCGGTCAGGCACCAGGGTTTGTGGACAGGCAGATCAGTAGGCATTGGAGAGAGAAGATAAATATGCTGATGTTGAAGAATCTGTCTCTTCTGAATTAGTCGAGGGAGCATGAAGATGTGTATTGTTTTTTCATATCAAGGATGTCAGATATGGATTTGTGATCCTGATACTGCATAATCCATTCTTTCCTCTCTGCCGTAGTTTGTCAGGATTGGGTTTGTTCATTTGCAGTCCTTGTTCACGCTTTCCTTCCTGTTTCGCTTGTCTTGGTAGATTTTTATCTGAAAGTTGAAAATGTTTTTGTTGATATAGGGAAGATTGCACCCGCTTTTGGAAGGAGGCGAGCAACACAACATGGTGATAAAATAGCCATTCGAGATGCATTTGTTAATGCTGATAACATTAAAAATGTTGCCTGGAATATTTACACTGTAAGGGAGAGGGGAGTGAACTCCTCAAGTGTTCAGGGACCAGTTCATCTCTTGGAACTGCTGCCATCTGAAGGTTAGTCATCTGCTCTAAATTGGCTGTCTGATCACTCTCTCGAGACCATGGAGAGAGATGGAAAAGGACAAAATCCCATCTGGAGATGTGTGTCTTAAGTACATCTTTTGGGTCAGAACAGGGTTGGGACAGAAGGGATTGTCCCCTGGAAGCGATTGCCTCTTTCCTCTGACTACAAAGGGAGCTTAAGTGACTTCATTTAACTTACTGCCCAAGATTTAGATACTTAGAGTAGAGGAAATGAATCCCAGTCCTACTGATTTGGCAGTAGAAACCTCAATGAAAGTTGGTGGGAGTTAAGGCTCTTGAACATTCCAAGTGCTTTAGATAATGCCGCTATTAACTTTGATGTTTCCTGTGAGATACTTGGCTGTGTCTGGACTCACAAACATGATTTGTCAGCTAAGCCTGAGACCAAATTCTACCAGAGGCCTGTTATAAAGGAAGGAGAATAGCGTGATCCATGACAACGTGAAGGGTTCAGTACCCAATTTTAAGTGGTGCAAGCCCTACAGCAATGTAGTCTGTAAGTAATGGAAGGCATTATTGGGAAGTGGTATGCCAAATCTGTGCGATACATTGATCAGCTCCTTTGGTTTTTGTTGTATTTTAGGTTAGAGATTACTTTCAGTTGAGAGGGTACTTGAAAATACATCCATTTCTTAGGGATGCAGAGGGAATGTTGCTGGGTACAAGTATTTTGCTCTGTCTTCTGGGTTCACAAGCACAGCTTTTTCTAACTGTGGCAGTTTTGTAGGTTTCTATGACCATTTAAAAGCAAGATTATTGATGTAAAACGTGATCATCCAGATCACAGTGAAAAGACTAGTGGAAAATGGCCTTTGGCACTTTGCCGAGCACGAGTCCTCTGCCCCATTTCTGGGCTGACATCTTTAATGTGAAGGCCCTGTGCCTCAGAATCTGAGGGAAGCTGAGCCCTAGGATCCTTCTGGATACTCAGCAGCCTAATAGGAGGGGCTGGCTGTGGGGATGGTTTGGCCACTAAGGTACTCCATAATTAATAACTGAATTATAGCCAACAAATGCACTTCATTTGGAGATTGTTCACTGGCCTTAAATGGTGCTTCTTGTGTTGCTAGTGATTCCTTGACTTGTCTTATCTCCTGGGTGGTGAGACTGGGGAGCCTTTAGATTTGGTTTCTTGTGCTGAGCTGAAGTGCTGTGTGCTGGGCAACACCGTGGCATCATTAGGTGAATGGCAGCTGAGCACTCAGTACTCCTGTTGCACATGTTGTAGGTCAAGAGTGGGCTATTATATATATACACTTTTCCTCTGAGTTACTTTTCTAGCAATTAATCTTCATCTGCTGGGCATGTAAATGCTGCAGTTTATCTTAGAGTCCTTGCTAAATACCTTCTTCAAAGTGACAGAGAGACAACCCATGCATCTCTACCAGTACTCTTCAGTGGTGAGATACTGAAGTGCGTTTGAGTAAATGTTGCATCTTCCTTTTCTCTCATGCTTCCCTCCCCCCTCTCTGTTTTGTTTGTTTCAGGTTCTTGGCCTTTTTGGATCTACACAGTGGAAGTTGCATCTTGTGTATGGCGTGGTTAAGCTTGCAGCCTGTCACCTCGGCCTTCCTCCATTTTGGGCTGGTTACTTTTGTGCTGTTTTTGCATGGTTTGCAGGTGGATGCTGGCCTGACGGGAGACTCAACCAGTTCAGTACAAAACAGCTCGTGTTCAGGATCTTTTGACTGCAAGGAAGGTGTTATCCTGCCAATATGGTACCCAGAAAACCCATCCCTTGGGGACAAAATTGCTCGTGTTATCGTATACTTTGTGGCACTGATCTACATGTTCCTTGGAGTCTCCATCATTGCAGATCGTTTCATGGCATCTATAGAGGTCATTACATCACAAGAGAAAGAAATCACAATTAAGAAACCCAATGGAGAGACCACGACGACCACCATTCGGATTTGGAATGAAACTGTTTCCAACTTGACCCTCATGGCTCTGGGCTCCTCTGCTCCTGAGATCCTTCTGTCTCTGATAGAGGTGTGTGGGCATGGATTCATAGCTGGAGACCTGGGGCCGTCTACAATTGTTGGCAGCGCTGCTTTCAATATGTTTATCATCATTGCCATCTGTGTCTATGTGATCCCTGATGGGGAAACCAGAAAGATAAAACACCTGAGGGTTTTCTTTGTCACAGCTGCGTGGAGCATCTTTGCTTACATCTGGTTGTACATGATCCTTGCTGTCTTCTCTCCAGGTGTGGTTCAGGTCTGGGAAGGTCTGCTCACACTTTTCTTCTTTCCACTTTGCGTCCTTCTGGCTTGGATAGCAGATAGACGTTTGCTTTTCTATAAGTATATGCACAAAAAGTACCGTACTGACAAGCACAGGGGCATTATCATAGAGTCAGAAGGTGATCACCCTAAGGGAATTGAGATGGATGGCAAGATGATGAACTCCCACTTCCTGGATGGAAACTTAGTGACTCTGGAGGGGAAGGAGGTAGATGAATCTCGCAAAGAAATGATCCGAATCCTTAAGGACCTGAAGCAAAAACACCCGGAAAAGGACTTGGACCAGCTGGTAGAAATGGCTAACTACTATGCCTTGTCTCATCAACAGAAGAGCAGAGCCTTTTATCGCATTCAAGCTACCAGAATGATGACAGGAGCTGGCAATATTCTGAAGAAGCATGCGGCCGAGCAAGCCAAGAAGAGCACCAGCTTGCATGAGGTGCGGCCAGATGAACCTGAGGAATTCATCTCCAAAGTTTATTTTGATCCATGCTCCTACCAGTGTCTTGAGAACTGTGGTGCCGTTCTCCTGACAGTGGTGCGGAAGGGAGGGGACATGTCCAAGACCATCTATGTCGACTATAAAACAGAGGATGGCTCTGCCAATGCTGGTGCTGATTATGAGTTCACAGAGGGGACTGTTGTCTTGAAATCAGGAGAGACCCAGAAGGAGTTCTCAGTGGGAATTATTGATGATGACATCTTTGAGGAAGATGAGCATTTCTTCGTGCGGCTCAGTAACCTCCGTGTGGTGGAGAGTGAGGAACCTCCGGAGCTCAGTAACTCCCCGTACCCAAAGGCCATATTGGCTTCTCCTTGTGTAGCCACAGTGACTATTCTGGATGATGACCATGCTGGCATCTTCACATTTGAGTGTGATGTTATACATGTCAGTGAAAGCATTGGCGTGATGGAAGTCAAAGTCCTAAGGACATCAGGTGCTCGGGGTACAGTCATAGTGCCATTTAGGACAGTAGAAGGGACAGCGAAAGGAGGTGGAGAAGACTTTGAAGACACTTACGGGGAGTTGGAGTTCAAGAATGATGAAACTGTGTAAGTACCCCATTCGTTTCTGTTCCTGGGTCTGGTTTTAGTGTTTAACCCCACATTTTGCCTCCATTACAGGTGAATGCTGACAAGGCACAGGCTCCTTTCTTCAGCTTTCCTTCGGTTTCCCTACTTACCTCTTTCAGGCAAGAACCGACAGCAGGATTTAAGAGCTCAAAGCTCTTGTCCCTTCCCTCTTGGGCCTGAGAGTGAGGCTTAGAAATACTGTGGGATGGGGGGGAAGGATAGGAGGTAAATATATCATTCTCTGAGGTCCTATATTAAAGCTAAGGGTTGATGGAGAGTTAAGGTAGAAGAAAAAGGGCGAGCTTTTACCTGGCTGAGCAAATATGGGAAAGCCTCTTTTTGAACACCAGACATAGAGTGCACAGGAGTTTATTGCTGTCCCTAGATGAAAAGTTTGCAACAGTTATTCCCAGGCAAGTAAGAGCTGCTGAGTAGATATGGGGCTTTATTTTCAAAGGAGCAACACATCATACCTGTGTCCTTAGGCTGCCTGAGCAACTTGCGGTCCCTGTGGCAGCTAATTCACAGCATAGACCCAGCTGTAAGCTGTTCTGCTGGACTTGTGAAATCCTTTCAGCCTTTATGTTCCTATGGTATACCCATATTCCCCACATCACCTTCTCTATGATCTCCCTATGCCTATTCTTTTACTATCTGTGGGTTTTTTCCCCTTGTAAAATACCATGGCAATTGGCAATAATGGTCTAAAGCACCACAGCTCACAGCCTGTCCATGTGTCTCCGTGACCCAGTGTTTTCATACAGAATAAAGAAGGGAAGTAGGATAGTCTGCACCTGTCCTGTTAATGCAGCTCTTTCATTGCGTACAAAGTAGGTGATAGGAAGCTAGGAAGCAATAAAGACCAGAGAGGCGATAATGTCTAATTGCTTTAAGTACCTGCTGTTAACATTAGTGGGGAATGAGAAAAATCCTTTAGCTGAGTAGGGAGAGGGAGGGGGGTGTGAACCTGGTGCTAAAACTCCCTAGTTTTAAGTGCCTAGGTTCCTCTTGTTAACACCTAATCACTTGAGCCATCAAAGGAAGAATTGTGCAGACTTGCAACTGGCATCAGAGGAAGGAAATCTTTGTACCAAGCCTCCCAATGTAGTACCCAAAAGGATGTTAATATATTAAATGCTATAGAGTAAGGATGCCCTAATTCAATAGCACCTTCTGCCTTAGCCCACTAAATCATTTAATCCATCTAATATCCACAGTCCTGAGGCTTGATTATAAATACGTGTTCTTCTTATCAAAGGAAGAGAAGCTCCTGGTTGGCTGGGTTCAGTTACTGTCAGAGATGGAAGAGGATCAGCTGTCCTCCTCTGGCTTTTTCAGGGAGATGGGCCACACAGGTTAGTCTCCTTAATTGAGCCGCAAGCTGATTTCTCTAGAGAAAGTGAAGAAGAATGTCAGCTGTATGGTTACCATCTCCTGTGAGTAGACTACCTAAAATAAAGTGGGCATTACCTTGCCTCAGCCAGGTCTTCAAAAGAAGGGGCTCTTCTTGCTTGAAAAAGACCCTTCAGTGAAAGGCCAGTAGGTTTGGGGTACTAGAGAATAAGCCCATGAGCCATTTTACTCCAAACTGTACTTTCTTTAATCTTCTGGCTGATGGAAGACAACCTTTTGTGTTTTAACAGTGTGACAGAAGGTCAGAGCATACCCACATAGTTGCTTCACTCGAGTTAAAACAAATCACATAGTGCATCCTTGTGGGATAGACTTTAATAAAAACAAAGACAGTCCAGAAAACAAGTATTTGTAGGTTGCTTAATGATGTTGTTTGAGACCCTGACAAGATGCCCTAGAACACAGATGAGACCTTTGTAGTGTACTTAAAACTGTGCCCACGCCTAATGCATTAATGTGATGTCTGCATCAGAAGAGTGCTGGGAGCATGAAGACCATGTGGCTAGCAGAGATTAATTTCTTCTGGAGCTAGGATTAGTGTAGCTGGCTCAACATAGCACTTAAAATAATAAGCCTAACAAGGAGGGAGATCATGTCAGCCAACAGGCTGCCTTTATTCTCTCCTGGGTTTCATTTTAAATCTCCAGGTCTTCTGGGAATGAAGTTTTGGGTTGGAAACTTGTGAAGGTAATTTTCAGTAATGAGCCCTTAGCCTTTAAATTCAGTGAACGTAGGTCAGTTGCTGTGCTTCTCCAGCTCTTCTTTGAGGTGCAGGTGGAAGCAGCTCTAGAAACCTGGAAGCAGTAATGGGTGGGTTTAATATCTTCCTCTCTTTTTTTTTTTTTCCCCCCCCTTTTCTTTCTCAGTCTGAATAGTTTTGAGGAAATATTTAGGCTGTAAACAAATTTTAGGTAACTCAGATCTGAATTTGGAATTTAGGCCTTCAATGCTACTATTCCATCAAACACTCTCTAGTTTTGGTCAGCCCAGTTTGGGAAGATGGGTGGATAGGGTGTTTGGGATAGTTTTGCTGACCCAGATGGCAGCATGTGGGTGACTGGTCATGGTATTGCTGGGTACAGATGTGTATGAAGACACTGGGTCACCAAATAGCCAGATTGTTGCCTGGCTGGATATTTGAAGCCCTGCCTCTTAAGTGCCTTGCCACTGAGGGGAATCCACCATAGGGTACTGACATGCCCTACGCACCGAAGCAGGGACTGAGGGACCATAAAGCCTGGTGCAGAACAGAGGGGAAAGTAGGAAGACTAAGATGGTCAGTAGACAGTGCTAAGGACAAGAGGTCAGAAAGCAGTGAGAAGTTATGTGCTCTGCACTTAATCCTACTGATTAGGCCCTTGCTTAGGAAAGGTTAAACTTGGGCTCTATTTTCTGTGCTGGTGTAGAAGCTGCTTGTAGATGGAGTCCTGCCTACCCCACTGCTTTAACCCTGTCAGTCTCCTCGTGGAGTCACTTTGTAAAGGTTTTTGGCTCATGGGGGACGAAAATGAATTAAGAGCATCTTGCAAACATGTAAGACAGTGCTAGGCTTTGCTGTGGCTATGCACATGTGCTAAGGATCTGCAGACACGAACAAGCACTGATCGGTGTAAACAGGAGGAGGGTAGAGGGTAGCTCTCAGCTCTGATACATGAATTGAACTTCAGCTCGCATTCTGCAGCAGCAGGCAATCTGCAAGTAGTTTGTAGGTTGGCCTCCTTAAGTGTAACAATGGCTAGATTAATCTGAGGGACACTGGATTACGCAGCAGCCTTGAGATTAAACTGTAGGAGAGTCACTGCCATCTACCAAATCCCCAGGGCCAAGGATAAGCCTTTTCTCTGAAAACTAAATGTAGAAGGAGTCTTCCCTTAGTTTATTTTATCTTGTTATATTTTTCTCAGGGTTGTTTTGAAGAGGCTTTCCCTAAAATATGTGGGTCTAAAAAAAGCAGAGTCAATGGAAATGTTACAGAATGAGAGGGAAATGGATCCTGCCACCGGGTCTTGCTTATTGCCTCTGTGATTCTTTCTAGACTAACATGGTCAAAGTTTCCTTGCTCACATTTGGGTGGGAGCACAAGAGAAAGCAGGCTGACATGAGGAGGCTTGAAACAATGCTGTTATTACTGAAATATGGTCCCATGCAGTGTGTGTGTGTATGGATGTGTATGGGTGTTGGATAGCTATAAATCAAGCCATGTAATCTTGAATGCTGTCATCTGCTGAAGGGAATTGATCAGCTGTCAAATAATTGATTATGCTGCCTCTTTTTTTCAATAAATTAGTTATTTCTGAACTCTGCTCTAGTGGGAGTCAGATATGACCTCAGCAGCTGAAGCAGAATCCTAATTCTTCTGTTGACTAAAAGGAAACTCTCAAAAAATCAAGTCCAAAACTTCTTTTAAAATTTTTTTGGTTTTTTGGTTGCACAGTGACAGAAAATGTTTCTTAGTAAATGATTTTGTATGGAAATAAATGTTACGTTCTCTTGGAGGTATGAAAATGTAGAAGAATGATTGACCCAGCTGCTCTATCATGTCCAGGCAATAAAGAAATCATTAAGAGCCAGCAGCAAAAAGTGAATTGGGCTTTAAAGGATTTTCTTTTTGCATAATAAAGGGAAGTCCCAGCAAGTCATTAAATTTAATTTGAGTTTTCTATGTTTAAAACTGTGTTTAAATTCATACAGAAACTTGTATAGGTCTTGCTTTAGAACGTTTAGGAAGATACACAAGTTACCAGTAGCTAATCGAATTGCTAGCTAGAAAATAAATTGACAAGTTCTGCTGTGGCCATGTCACTGGCAGCAGCTATACTAAGCTAAGGTTTAGGCCAAGAGATCTGCTTTGTTACTTGCCCTTGTTGGCTGCTCAGTTACTTGCAGGACCTGAAGGCTACTAGAGGTGTAGCCCTCTGCCCTGAGTCTGTAGTTCTCTGAATATTGCCTGTGGCTGAGGAAGGAACTGGGTGTTAAGAGATGTTGTGGTGTTAAACAGACTGCCAAGCCTCTGTGCAAGGTCAAGGTGGCTGAACTTTGGTAACGTGGAAACCTACAGTCACTTACCTGTGTGTGTGTTAGGCAGAGCTCTTGACAGAAGGGCTGTCTCCTCCACTTGTACAGGGACTGCTGGAGACACACACAGTAAGCCTGCCTTGAGAGGCAGTGAGATTGTTGGGTTTTTTTTCCCCTTGCTTTAGGATTTGGGCAGGATGTTGTGTCCAAGTTGCACGTTGCCTCTCCTCGTCTGCTTTGCCCCAGAGAAGCCCCTGGGCTGCTGTGTGCATGGCTGAGGCTGCTCCACAGAGCCACCCTGAGCCTTGGGCTGTCTCACTGCTGGGGGCTTGGGCATGCATTTCTAACTGTTGGTGGCTTCAGGCATTCTCTGGCAGGGGACTCATGGACTTTGTGTGTATGTAGGCATGCAAAGGGCAGAGGTGGTCCTGTCTGGGTCAAACTCAGGTTAGTGCTGTGTCACAAGGTTAGCTGATGGTTAATGACTGCCCCAGGCAGCCACAGTTCTCATGTGTGGTGTGCCACCCTTGTTTGGTGGGAACGTTGGTATCCCTTCCTTCTCCTTTTTCTCT